CTCTTCAGAAAAGATCAGAAATGTCCCATGTTCTCAGGAACATCCCACGTTTGGTCACTCACTGCATTTAGTTCTTGCGTTAAAATCTGTGCGTCATGGATTTGTTTGTAAATCAGTATCTGCACTAAACCAAGTCCCAAGAGAGTCACTGTGACATGCAAGCGGTAGGCAGTTAAACAATGGGTCAGATTAAGCCTGCTAGTGTCATTAGACACTAGCAAGGTTAGCCTCATCCACCTGCAGATGGGCCTCTGCGTCCCGGTCTCCAAGAGCAGGTTCCGCCACCTTCTCCAGACAAAGGATTATAACCTGGAATTACAGATGAAAAGTGCATCAGGCACACTAAATTTTCACACCCAATAAAATGAGTCATTAGCACATGATCAGAGGGCAACTATTTCAAGAGGGAAGCAGAAGTCAGAGAACTGCAAATATAAATGTGGATCATTCAGAGTTATACAAATCATCCAGTCTTGAAGGTGTTCCTTTCACAGCATGGCCCACGTCACCAGCAACGGAACGTTCTAAAAATGTACATTTCACAAGTCTGGGCCATGCTGACAGATGGCAAATTAAGTGACAAACCCTCAAGGGTTCAAAAATGCAGGAGCAAAATATGCACTTTGCATAGTTATATCACTGTGAATGACAGCATTAGAGCTAACACACTACTCACTGGTCATGGGAGAGCACAAAGTGTTCTTTTTGGTCCGGGAGTTCAAAGAAGCTAGATATTCAGACTAAACTTTGTAGCAACCAATCATGGGATTTTCTTTGTTTTATCAGTACAGAGTGGTATTAGAAAATGCATATCCCCTTAGCCCCACCTGCATCGGGCTGAGGATATTTGTTCAATATCCATTATTCCAATATTATAAACAAGTCAGAGGCAGATACAAATTACCTCTCTAAATGTAAGAATGTTCAAACTAACGCTTCATTTTATAAAAGTGTACATTTTGAAAAAAAATAGCCTGGCAATTCTCCCTGGTCTCCCTCCTTAGTGCATGCATACAAGATGTCAGATAGATAGACTACAACTCTCTGAACTGCCAAGCAAGCTATTTTCAAAGTCAGTCCGTTCCACTGAAACCTCTGCTACTTTTCCCCAGCATTATGGAAATCCCAGAAATTTAGTCAGCAACTAGAATGGTCTATACGCATCTTCAACCCACCATCATCTACCTTGCGAGCAGAATGCAGACATCTAATGCCATAATCTGTTACTTACTTTGCCTAGCTTGAGCCTAGGACAGGTCCAGACAAGGGAAAACTGAACAAGTGGGTCAGCTGCTATTATGAAAGTACTTCACACGGCTGTGGCCTGCTCTTTGCTGTTCTCCCTCACATTTTATTCAGGAAGTCTTTAATGTTGAGCACTTCATAGAATTAGACTACGAGACTATGCTGAAGTTAAACTTACACACATGCTAACATCTGCAGAATCAACTGATGGCCATCAGCAAAAACACATTCATGCAGCATTTTCCACTCTATAGTAAATCAGGCTATTGGCTAAAATGTATTCAAACTTGACAACGTTCTTTGTGCAGCTTTTTGAACTTACCCCCTGCTACAATCTTATTAAGCGGGATCCTTCTATCCTGAGAGGTCCACGGGGAAAATAGTAATTGTCTAGATATTATTTTTTCCTTATGACAACGGTGATTAGCTTACTGGCCCTAAGTCAGCTTTATCAGTACAGCCAATGCTGTTTCTGTAGAAGGCAGATAAAGGACCGTTTGCACAGTCTTCGTCTACAACAGGAATTCCATAACTCACCACATGGTATTTGAGAACCCAGGTACAATCTTAGCTTGATATATCATTTTATTTGCCTGTGTGCATCATATACGATACAATGCAGGAAGAAAGTATTGAAGTAGTGCTAGGATATGCACACAGACTAGACACACTGGTATGCATCACTTACTCCAATTGGGGAAAAAAAATAGCAAGACTTAAGTATTTTCTGACACCAAAAGCCACAGACTCTCAATGAGTCACAGCAAAAATGTTTCCTGAAGGAACTGAACCAGTGTCAGGCTTCCCCACTGCCAAAACTTATGAAAACTCCAGAGATTACTGCACAAACCTTTATGGAAAAATGTGGCCCCAGATGCTAACACTGTACAGATTGAAACCCTCAACCATGAAAAGCTGCATCATAAGGTAGGCTTTACTTCAAAGATCAAAGTTGTCCTTTCTCTGAATAAACAGAAACAAATCATGTCTGTATAAAAAGGCCATCCAGAAAACTGAATAAATGCTTAAGTTTTCAAGAGAAAGGCATTTGAAAGATACTTAGGGTTCATACTTACCACCTCCACGCAGAGGCTTCTTATCTGGCTTTGGCTTTGGGACTGCTGATGAGGTGGAAGGGCTGGATGCTGTTTCTTGCTGTTAGCATAAAGTAAAGTTATTCAGAACTGATCAACACAGGTTTCAGCTAGTCATTTATTTATAGGCATTTACTGCAGGATTATGGAAGTGTAATATATAGTTAAAGTTAGGATCATCGGAAAGTAGAGTTCAGCTTCAGATTTCCTTTCCTTACCTGGTTCAGCTTCAGATTTCCTTTATAGCTTTTTCCTTCCTGCATGCTCTCCCACATTGCTATCTTCTGCCTTCTTTTCTCTTCTTCAAGCTGAGAAAAACCCAGTTTATAAGATTTTATGACTGCCAGAGTTAACAGCTGAACTGGCGTAGAGGAAACAGCCTCCCTCTCCCCCACCTCAAAAGCAAAGGACTGCATTACTGCCTTTTTTGCAGAGAAAATCTATCACAAGGTAAACACTGAAACAAAGAGACGATAAATCCTACTTTCGCTTGCCTTATCTCAATAGCAGTTTAAAAGTCTTCGCCATCTCACTGTACAGGGACTGGAAATAATACACATTCAAGTCCTGGCTATAACTCTTTTCTCCATTGCTCTGTATCAATGGCACTTGTTTTCAAATTTTGTATTCTGTAAAAGTTCTTTACAAAGCATGAACATGAAGTAATTTAACACAATAAAGCAGTTTCTGGCAGAAAAAAAGATGTATTTTTCAAATTAGTGTCAAAGCCAGGCCACTCCATGAAAGAGATGCCATTACCAGCATATGAAAACGTGGCCAGAATCTCTGCCCAAATCAATTTCTCCAATGAGAAGTATACGTTAATAGATAACAGACTGCCTTAGCTCAATGAAAACAAGGAGAAGTATACTAGTTTGCCTAGAGTCAAAGAAAGCAAAGCTTCCTCAGTCTAACTGCACTGGGATGAGATTTCTTCCAAGATGGCTATTTACTTTCTCCATTAGGCTTTAACTCTCAACATTTCTTGAAATGTTGCTGCAGCAACAAGAACTTCAAACAAGACTTGATGGTTACATAAAAAGAGAAATATATTGCCACTTGTACTCAAGCCTGCCATGCATGGAAATGAAACTTGATGGAACTGACTGCAAAAAGAAAATAAGATGAACTAGGGCTTATAAAGCTTTTCACTGCTGCCCTGATTACAGTAAGCATTCCTATGTTGTTACCTAGAGAGGAGGCGCTGAATGATGCTGTATTCCTTATTATCTCAAATTGTACTCCAAAGCTTTTAGGGCCTAACAATGCTGTGCTGCATTAAATCTGCAAAGAATTCAAGCTTGCCATTAAGAAAATATGTGCGCACTAGCAATGCTAATTTGAATGATAATATAACCAATCCCAAAGATCCATTTGCATACACAAAGACTCAGCCAGTGCAACTGCAGCAATTGCCTACAGGGTTGACTTTTTGAAGAATCAAGCCCTAGAGTTTTCTGCACCGTTTCAGACGAACAAGCATGTCCCACGTCAGTCATTTCAGAAAGGAGAATAAAGAGTTCAAGCCCTTTAATCCAAACACAAAGAAAGGTAGGAGCCCCTCCTACTGCTCACCGATCTGGACAGCTGTGCAAGAGAACACTCAGCTCTAAAACTGTACATCACAGACACCCTTCTATCCCTTTGGTTACCTCTCTTTGTTTCTCTTTGTATTTTTCTGCTTGCGCATTCAATTCTTCTTGCATCTTTAGACGAGCTGCTGCCAGGGCTTCCTGCCGCCTCACCACCGCATCAGGCTCTAAACAGCCACAGAAAAGAGTGGGTAAAGCAATTGTATTCAGTTGCGGTGCACTGATAAAGATTTTTTTGGCCGATACCAATGGCTGATTATTAACCAGTCATATCAGCCAATACCTATCCCATAGCCGATATGCAGCCCAGCAGCTTGGACAGCAGCATCTGACTGGTAAGTCTGTGAGGGGAGGAGAGTGGCGGAGGGCAGATCGAGGCCCCTACAGAGGAGAGACTGGGGCTGGGGCAGGCATTGTCCAGCTGGGGTGGGGTGGAGGATGGAGCCATGGGCTGCTTATCCCACCACTGCGTGCACCCCCAGGGGAGGCATGGAGGGCACATGTGCCCTGGATTTGTGCATGGGGCAAGAGCAGGCTGCCACTGCACGCTCAGGGCCAGGGGTTGTGCCAGCCTCTTCCTGGCAGGGGTGGTTAGGCCAGGGCTGCACTCGGGGTGGGCTACAGCCACCCCAAAATTCACCACAGCCCTCCCCGCAGGCCCCCTCCCCCACCCAGCATTGCCACCTGCCCCTGCCTGCCTCCTTATACTGTGTTTTATCAGCAAAGAAATGATTTGCAAAAATACTGAACACCGCTCCAAGGGGAAAGCAAACAGCCCCAGAAACGCATTTGGACCACCTACTTCTCTTCACCGCTGCCTTTTCCAAAGTCACAAGAAAATATGACAAGTCTATTATTTTACTCAATTTTTTTTTAACTCTTGAACTTTCCCACATTCACTTTTTATAGTCATTGTTTACATAGTAACATACAAATCATCATGAACATACAGATGAGTTGATAAAGCATCAGCTGAAGTTGCATAAAAGATGCCTAATTTTTCATAGCAGTGTAAGAGATGTTGTAGCCATGATGGCCCAGAGTACGTGAGAGGCAAGGGTTTCTTAGGGTAGTATCTTTAACAGGACCAACCGTGTTACTGGGATAAAGTTAGACACGCTCTTGGACAGCACCTAGTGAAGAACACCTTGCATTCAACAGCGTGTCTAGCGGTCTCCCAGCAACAAAGTTGGTCCAGTAAGAGATATCACCTGAAGAAATCCTTGCCTTATTTACTTTTTCATATAATTTTTTTCCTGTGGCTTGATGTGGCATAAAAGTTTACAGCAGATTGTTTATAGGCTGTTTTGCTGCACAGCAACATCTAGTTATGACCATGACAGAAAGCCACCACAACAGGAACAGGAGAGAGATAATTTGCGAGGCCCCCAACGTGCCAGATGAATCGACGCCAGGCAATTCTTCATTAGACAATGCCATAATTGCATCCCATGCTTTAACGGCAGCACGAATCTAAATGAGGCCAGGACGTGACTCCGCAGCATCTACCTTCTAAGGCTGCAATTTAGGAAATAACACCTGGGTGTAACTGCCTGTAGTGTACAGTTACACCCAAATGTACTTTCACGGGGATCTCATTAAATGGAAAGCGCCAAGAGATAGTATGAAGGAGGAAATGGCTACGGAAGATTGATTAGAAGGGTGTGCCAGGCATATAAACCTCCTCTCCCACACAGCACAAAAAAACCACTTTCTCGGTAGTTCTGTACAGGGCCCAGATTCGTGGCGATGACTCCCAAAGCATCCGAGAAGAACAGGCTGCTCTGAAGAGAAGCAGGGATGCCCTCGCTCCACACAACCCTGCCTCATCCTGGCAAACTCCCTGCATTTCTCCCTGGAGGCTGCTGCCCATCTGCGGCAGAGCTTTTCCCTTCTCCAAATGCTTCTCTCCTCCTAAGCCAGCGGGGCTAAGCTCTTTGGCAGCCCCGCACCCGGCAAGCGCCACTCCGATCCTCCTACCCTGCGCGATCTGGTGCTCTGTCTGCTCCCCGCCTGATCTGCTGCTCTTGCTTACTGCTCTATCTACGAGGCCGCGGCGATGCTCTGCCAACAGCTGCGGTCGGGAGCTGGCTGCGGAGACCGAGGGCAGCCTGGGCCGCAGGGAAGCTTGTGCCGAGTCGGTCCCTTAAGTGCCCCCAGCCCCGTCTCCCGCCAGCCCGGGCACCGCGGCAGAGGACACGCACCTGCGGCCGCCCCCGGTGGGTCCGGCCGGCTCCGTCTCCGGGCTCGGGTGCTCTCGGACACCTTCTGCATGAGGAGGTAGACGGCGACGCAGGCGAGCAGCAGGTACCAGCCGTAGGCCGACAGCAGCGCACCCACTGCAGGGAGAGCGCGGCGGCAGCAGTCATGGCACGGCCGAGGGAGCCCCTCCCCAGCCCCACCACTAGGGGCAGCCCTGCAAGAGGGGGCAGTGCCCAGGCCCCTACAGGTCATGACACTGCCTCCATCCCCAGCATCCCTGGAATGGCACCCCCCCCCCCCGGG